TATTCTTAACCCTTGGGTGCAACTGTTCTTGACATTGAATATTGCTATGATAGCCAAGATAATAAAGTAAACTTGAGGTATGAGCACACATTCCCATTTCTTTGACCAACTGGGCATTGGATAATCTAATCTTGGATAACTGTCATTTGGTGTCCTGCGGTACTGAATCCAAACATTATTTTTAGTCTGGCTCTTGTGTCTGGAACAAATTTGACAACGGATAAGGTCTTTAGAGTGCTGATACATCCATATATCATTATCTGCATCATCACTAAGATGTTCACTGATATAGTCTGGAGCTAATGATAACTGGTAGGTGCCTGATATAGCCTGGAGCTAATGATAACTGGTAGGTGTCTGATATAGCCTCGAGCTAATGATCACTGGTACATTGTAGGTGCCGCACATTATAGTCTTCAACTATTCCAAATTGAGCTCTGGAAATGTGAATGAAGATGCATCCATCTTTACGTATTCTGACTTTAATCTCTTTGAGAGAGATGGTTCTTTTTCACCCTCTGAGCCAAACAGTTTGTTTATATAAGTCGAAACTTCATCTGTTGTGCGAGTTCTCTGTCTTTTCTGTCAGTTTCTGGTGATCTTTGGTAAATTGGTACCCGTATCCCATTGAGACATGCAGTCATAATCTTTAGCACTTATATCAAAAAAGCAATTTGATTTTAGTTCAGTTCTAAAAAATGTCCAATTCTTAGGGCGGCCATGATAAGACTCTACAATCCATCGGGATTTAGTTATTGTCCTGTCAATGTTAGCCTGTAGATCAGGGTGTTGGCTCTGACTAGGCGTAATATATGAGAGCATACTGGTATTAATACCAGATGCCTCGAACATTGGCAGGACATATCTAAAACAACGATCAACAACTGTTTTGTTGTCTTGCTCCAATCATGTGAGCTTGTCAATGATGTTATTTTTATGTGATGCTTGCATCATTTTGGCTTACAGCGAATGATCCTACTGTGTCCAAAATGAAGCCATCAGGTAGAGCTATGCTCATAACTTTAAGATAATTTTGCTTCTTCTTGCCACAGTAAAACATTCTCTGAAGCTTATGGTCAGCACCTTTTTTAATATAAATAAATGTACCATCTAATATGGCAGCCATTTTGCCTCGTAAAGAATGTTTCTGAGAATACAGTGTTGTGTGAAAGTATATGTTCCCTACTTAAATGGTAAGGACCAGGAAACATTGGAACTATAGATTTATTAAATGCTTGTACTACAGAATGAAAGTTTTTTTTTGAAATACTAGATAGTGAAATGCCAAAAAGAGCGGAACACTGATTCCAAGAGATGTCAGTTTTTATCTTAAACCAAAACAGTAACAGAGCCTTTTGTGTAGTTTTGGTATATACTGAAAGAGAAAGAAATCGGACCATGCACGAATGGATTTTGAGAAACTGTTCTGTGGACCAACCTGTTCAAGATTTGCAGCCAGGGTCATCCAAGAGAGAAAAAATGAGAATGAAGGCTGATGGATTCTTTGATAAGATGTACGACACTTGTAAAAGGTCATCAATTATTTCAGATGACCTACTTAATAATTGAGAAAACAAAATCTCTCTTCCTTGTAGGATAACCTGTGTACATGGGTTCAGGTCATTGCCAATAATATGAAATGAGCATACACGTGATGACGCAGAACATCACAATTTGTGTGTGAAAATTAACTGATGCCTGACACAATTTGGCAGAAGTGTGGATTTGTTTCCCTTCGAATTAAAATTGTTTATGTGAACAGGATCCGTAAAACAGGTCCTTGATTGTTAAAAGAGGAAAACAACTAGTAATTACACTGCATTAACAGCTGTTTCGTCCATCTAGGACCCACCTGTGATGCTAGGGGCCAAAATGTTGGAAATCAAAATTGTCTAAACCACTATAGAAACAGGGGGCAAGTGCGTAAAACCCCTCAATTTAGGAAAGACAAACTTAAAATGAGTATCGGTCAATAATATATTAATTTATTAGAACAGTGTTTATATTATGAACCATAAGTGCAATTTGGTATACCCATTTTTATTCTTAATCTAAGTGCTATGTTGTTTAATCATTTGCTATTTTTTACCCTGCAAATATCATTATACAAAAAAAATCGTTCATATTTTACATGAGCAGTGTCATATTTAATTTTATTACATACTTACTAATAAATACGGGTTTATTGCATATGCGATACGACACATTTGCTCTAACCCATATCAGCCCTCACCGTATCATACCCCCAAACCCGTATCATTCCCCGCCGTATCACATCCCAAAACCCGTATCAGCCCGCAAAACCCATATCACACCCCTTTTGGATTTTTTTTCGTTTTTTCAATATTTCAAAAAGAAAAATAGATCAGAAGATAGTAGTTTTTATTAGTAAGTATGTAATAAACAGTATAAAACACGCCTTTTTCCATATCACACCAAGTATCAACCCTTGACCAATATCAACCCTCGGGCCTTCGGCCCTTGGGCTGATATTGCAGTCTCGGGTTGATACTGGGTGTGATATGGAAAAAAGGCATGTATTATTCTCTATATATTCTGTTTGGCTACCATGTGAAAATAACAATAAAATAATAATTTTGATATATAAAATATATGATTTATTTGTTAAAATTTTAACATATTTACAACATTTCGAGCTAAGCTTTTTGCAGCGACAAATTTCGTGGCATAAACCATTTATTTTTATAACAAATTCATACAATGTACAACCAACCGAAAACTCAGTTTGTTTCAATACATAAAAGGACGTTGAGTTAAAATATTAAGACATGATCAAATTAAGATGTTCAGGTATATCTCCTAAAATTAACATGTATGTACAAAAACATGATCTTGTGAAAGTATGTGAGTGACGAACTATTCTGGTAAATTATAAAATACAACATTATCTTATGTTCAACAAATTATTAGATTCAATACTTACTATAAGAGTAGAAATTCTTGCGGTATGAAATGTTCGCATTACGACTCTTTAAAATGTTCGAGGTGGTAAAACTTTCGCCTTTTCATTGGTTCTGAATTACATCTTATATTGAAATTTATAATCTATCAATTTACATTCTCATGTAGATATTTTCGCGCTACTTATCTCAATGCGAATATTTTTTTCCGCACCGCGACAATTTCCACTTTTATAGTAACCTCATATTGTAATGTTTAAGTGATTTCCTAGTATTGTTTAGATAATGACCATGCACATTTATTTATCCATACTCTAAAATCACGAAATAAGCCCGATACGAATTAGGCAAATTGCAGTAAACTAGAACTCGAAAACTAGCCGCCTTTATATTTTTGTCATGTTGTCAAATTATTCAGGTAAACCAGGATATAAACCATCTTCGGACGTTTGTGTCCTTGATGCTGAATATCCAGTCATTGTCGAAAACTATTTTGTAACATTTTCGGGTTCAAAAACTAAAAAAAATTGACAATATTAATTAAATATAACAATGCCTAACAAACATTTAAAAGCCAAGCTTCGTACAGAATGGTATTATGTAGAGTATACACGTATGGATTGTTGTATAGTATACAGTACGGTGTACACGTCTGGATTGTTGTAAAGAATACAGTACGGTATACACGTTTGTATTGTTATATAGTATACAGCAGAGTATACACGTAAGGATTGTTGTATATTATACAGTACGGTATACACGTTTGTATTGTTATATATTATACAGTACGGTATACACGTTTGGATTGTTTTATATTATAGAGTACAGTATACATATTTGGATTGTTATATAGTATACAGTACGGTATACACGTTTGGATTGTTGTATAGTATACAGTACGGTATACACGTTTGGATTGCTTTATATTATACAGTACAGTATTCATATTTGGATTGTTATATAGTATACAGTACGGTATACACGTTTGGATTGTTGTATATTATACAGTACGGTATACACGTTTGGATTGTTTTATATTATACAGTACAGTATACATATTTGGATTGTTATATAGTATACAGTACAGTATACACGTATGGAGTGTTTTATAATAAAAAGTACGGTATACATGTTTGTATTGTTATATAGTGTACAGTATGGTATACATGTTTGTATTGTTATATAGTATACAGTACGGTATACAGGTTGGATTGTTATATAGTATACAGTACGGTGTACACGTTTGTATTGTTATATAATATACAGGACGGTATACATGTTTGTATTGTTATATGGTATACAGTACGGTATACACGTTTGGATTGTTCTATATTATACAGTACAGTATACATATTTGGATTGTTACATAGTATACAGTACGGTATACACGTTTGTATTGTTGTATATTATACAGTACGGTATACACGTTTGGATTGTTCTATATTATACAGTACAGTATACATATTTGGATTGTTATATAGTATACAGTACAGTATACACGTTTGGATTGCTATATAGTTTACAGTACGGTATTCATGTTTGGATTGTTATATAGTATACAGTACGGTGTACACGTTTGTATTGTTATATAATATACAGGACGGTATACATGTTTGTATTGTTATATGGTATACAGTACGGTATACACGTTTGGATTGTTCTATATTATACAGTACAGTATACATATTTGGATTGTTATATAGTATATAGTACGGTATACATGTTTGGATTGTTATATATTATACGGTACAGTATACACGTATGGAGTGTTTTATTATAAACAGTACGGTATCCATGTTTGTATTGTTATATAGTATACAGTACGGTATACAGGTTGGATTGTTGTATAGTATACAGTACGGGATACATGTTTGTATTGTTATATAGTATACAGTACGGTATACATGTTTAGATTGTTATATAGTATACATTACGGTATACACGTTTGTATTGTTATATAGTATACAGTACGGTATACATGTTTGTATTGTTATATAGTATACAGTACGGTATACTATATAACAATACAAACGTGTATACCGTAATGTATACTATATAACAATCCAAACATGAATACACGTTTGGATTGCTATATAGTTTACAGTACGGTATACATGTTTGTATTGTTATATGGTATACAGTATGGTATACATGTTTGTATTGTTATATAGTCTACAGTACAGTATACACATTTGGACTGTTATAAAGTATACAGTACGGTATACATATTTGGATTGTTATATAGTATACAGTATGGTATACATGTTTGTATTGTTATATATTATACAGTACAGTATACACGTTTGGATTGCTATATAGTTTACAGTACGGTATTCATGTTTGGATTGTTATATAGTATACAGTACGGTATACACGTTCGGATTGTTGGATGGTATACAGTACGGTATACACATTTTGATTGCTGTTTCGGTCTCGAAACAAAGGCTGAGACTCCTTATTGAAATATGAAGCCACGGTCTATTTTTTATGTTTTATAATATGTCATTACTGCATAAATTATCAAAAAAGGGAAAATTGAGGAAAATGAGTATATATAATCAATTTACAACGACACAATGGAACTCATTTAAAACTACTTGATTATAAGGAAGCTACATTACGATTTACATAAATCAAGTTTATATAACAAAATAACGCAGAACTGTACAAATGGAAACACGACCATTAGATATCTAAATTTATCTCCTTTTCTGTTCGATTAACCTTTAAAAAATTCCCTCGGAGTCTGTCAATGTCACCCTCTCAAATTCGATGATTAAACTACAATTTGACGGTTGCTGACTTGCAATTTTTGAATTTTACAACTTGGTATTGTTTTTATCGAAATTAAAGTATATGTATCTATATGTTCAAAAAACAAACTCAAATTATACGATTCACTAGTCTACTTTACAACACTTCTGGACATATTTCAAGGCTGACTATCGAGATGTTCCATCCTTTTCTTTTTCGGTTTATTTTTAAAGATATAAAGGGCAGGCTGGCATGATAAATCAGTTACATCACATGGGTTTCTGATCGGTAAAACATTGCAACAACTCCTGTTATGAGTTTATAAGGGGAATAAGATACATAACAGTTATATCACGTATACAGAGTACATACAAAACTGGCAATATTTTCTTTCATTTTCCAGTTTTAAATATACAAAATTATGTCGGGAGACCAAGAGTGTACGCAGCGCTCACTTTCGTTGTTATCAACAAATTATCATCTTCAATAGTAAACATTTACCCTGAAGGCTTAACCTATTTTCCCCGATTTGTTGTTTGAAGTTTTTAATATGCGCTCTGGATAATACCATAGCCCTGGAATATATATTTAACCTAAGTGCCCAAGTTCTTTGAAAAACATTCAAGTTCTTTACATATTGGATACTTGTGACCTTAAAAGAGATCAATAACATGCATACAAGGCGTGATATAGCATCTATTTCAAGGCTTATTTAACCTTATTATTCCAGGCCTTCTAAAACTCCATAAGAAGGGGATTATAAGCATGTTTATCATTTTAAACCTATGTTGATATTTCACCCCAACGATTAAAGTTGATCTTTGACCCAACAAAAAGTATAAGAACAAAATGCGCGCTAGCATTTTAAACTCATTTGACCTTGAAAATAGCCAATTTTATCTATATGATTAAGGAATGTATACATCTAGTCCTCCATTTAACATACAACTGGCCAAATAACCTGATCGTGGATCCGAGGGAGCTAATGGAAAGATTTGAAAGCATATACCCACCATCGACCCTAATAAATATTAGAAAAACAACCGTAGCTGGTCTACTTAACATTCCCGAGTATCATGGCTCAAATCCTTATGGTTCATTACGTAACGTTATTTGATATTTTCAAAATATCTGACCCCTGTGACCTTGACATGTTATGATCATTTTCGTGGGGAAATTTGATAAATCGCTAGTGACCTCAAATCATCTTAACTTTTTTTCAGTTCTTATAAAGAAGGAACAGTTGTAGGACATAGAGACGGTGGACAACGGACGCCATTCCATACAATACGCAGACATCGATAAAATGATGTCATCAGACATAATTCCTTTGAGAATTGTGCACAAATGTTCTCGTGCTATGTTGTCTATTAAAAAAATTCAATTAAATGAGAGTTCCATATCATTCCACATTGTAATAATCGTAAGGTAACACTGCTTATTAAGTGCAAGAATGCGAATGACTCTCATCGTCCACATTTATAAAGTATAACACACATTTACAGAAACAAGGGTATAATGACGTACCTACGTTATCCTTAACATAGCCCGAACCAAAAAATCCACCAGCTTTATAGTAACCACTAAAGTAAGCGTCGTAGTTATCGTACTTATATCTTGTTAACATTCTCATGTAGCTGTTTTCTCACCCAAAATCATCTATATTTCGCTAGAAAAATCAAGCATCATATAGGATAAGATACCTAGTTTAATCCGAGTTTAGATTCCTTGTTTCGGCTATCTTTTGTTGTGCTGTTTGTATCTGGTCTGTTCCTCATGGCACACTGACAAATGCGAGTTTGTTTATATATATAAGCACAGATACAAACATATTTTGTCGATACGTGATGCTTCCTAAACAGACTCGGATAGTTTTCTTGTATTGTACATTACAAAATCACATTACGTCATTCGTCTGTATTTGCATCGACCTAAATAAATCTCCTCGCGGTTGAGTACCAGTTCATATTGCAAAGTTTCATTGCCTTCAGAATCCTGCTGACGGTTGCCTGCTCTTGGAATGTTTCGATCCATAGCTTGATGAGCGCCTCTATCACATGTTTAGCTTTGAGGTGATCCATTTCACACATATCTATGTTAGAGACAGACAACCCAAGCTCCAGACACAGGTTGAAGAAATCCTTGCCTATTTTGTCTACCAGAAGCCCAATGTCACTGACCACCAGTCGTCTGTGGAGCCCACGGTTAAATTCCATGTCATCTGCGAAAAAAATGCGGTTGTTAAGTTTCTTCAAGAATAAGAAATATACGGCAAATGCGTCTAACAATGAGACCATTATGTAACAAATTGCAGTAAGTATAGTTCTACTACCCTGCATGTAAAGCAAGATGTCTTTTCTAATGGAATTGTCGAGAATTTAACAGCCTAGTTTATCAACTCAACATTCGTGGTTATTCTTTTCTACAATACTTTCAAAACACTATTTATTTGTCCTTTTGTTTGACAATGGAAACAAGTGTTTACGAATGATCGCAAGGTTATTTTCCAGCCAGATATGATGTACGCACAAGACAAACCTACCGTACAGATTCCCACTTAGTCTCTAGTCTGTCTCTTTATATATACTCTGTACATTATCTGGAGCGACAGTTTTCCACATCATTAGGACTCATATTACAAAGAGTTGCATATTTTCATTTAGCCTCTTTGCGAATTTCCTTATTATCATGATATAAAGGATTAATATCATAACTGTCAGTTACTATATATATAATTAATATCTAAACTTAAGTAGGATGTTGTACAATATGTGTAATACCGAGTGTACTTTATATTTCCAATGATATTGTGGGACTCTTTTTATACAACCTAGAAAAATATATCCATTAGTCATGTTTAAGTAATGGATAAATCACGAGTTGGCGTTGAATCAGCCAGGGAAGGCACTACCTTTCGAGGGCCGAGACCACGGGCTTTCACTGGCTAATCCAACACCAACAAGTGGTTTGTCTTAAAAACTTATCACAATATATACTGAACAAAAAAAGAAACGCACAATTAAATTATGCAATCAATAGCCTATGATATTTTTGGAAATTTGTACAAAATTTTATATCAATATGAAGGGACAAGTCTACTCTTTACAATACTGTAGAAGAAAAGTCTGTGTGACGTCACTCGTGTCATCAGTAGTTACTCAAAGTGGGATACCCGCGAAAAACAAAATGACACTTCAGTACCTGATGTGGGCACCTTTTGCACGAATCCCTGCACGGATTCTCCTATGCATTCAATTCATGAGAACATTTATTCGCCTTAAGGGAATGTTGTTCCATTCTTGTGTTAATGCTGCGATCAACTGGGTGCGGTTAGTTGGGGGGTTTTGGACATGAAGGACATGTGGTTGGAGGATCTGGTCTCTGTATCGAACGGCATTGAGGTTTTGATCCAGGGGGATTTTACTCCACGGGAGATGCCTACCCAAACCATCACAGAAGCCCCACCGAATCTATCGCGTTCAACCACGCATGCGTCGGCGAAACGCTCACCGCGTCTGCGATATACCCTTTTTCTTCCGTCTGACCGATACAGACAGAATCTAGACTCGTCGGTGAACATCACACGCCTCCATCGACTCATCCCAAACCTATTCGGGCCAGTCTGCGCATCCAGTCAAGACGCACTTGCCGCCTTCGTGGTGTCAGAGGTGGCCCGACATAAGGTCGGCGCGCAATGATTCTCTCGGCCCGCAAGCGGTTCCTTGCAGTTTGAGGACTAATGGGTCTGCCATGAGTACCTAAGGTATGCGACGCAGTCTGTTGCGCAAGTGCGACAGTCGAATCGCCCTGTCTTGTCGTGCGGTCGTTACACGCGGACGACCGCTCCTGGGACGATCGGAAACTAACCCAGTAGCACGGAAACGTGTACAGAGACGGTTAATTGTACACGGGCCAATACCAAACTGCCGTGCGACAGCAGTTTGGCTATGACCATCCATCAACATCGCAATTGCTCTACCCCTCTGAATTTGCGTTAAGCGTGGCATCTCAGTCAATGGCGAAATCAAAATGCCAACGTGGAAAAATAATGTGGCTGAACTTAGATTATCCGTTGAAATTATTTGTTTGAAAAAACTTCGGCTTGGCTTTATCACGCCGCGTGATTTGGACTAAAGAAGCTCACAAAGTCACACAATGACATCGTCACGCTTGGCTGATTTTTAGGGTAGATTGTTGAGAAGGGATATCGTTCTTGATGTAATACCTGACCAAATATTCCATTATATCCTTACATCTAAGGTGTACTGCAGGGGGGGGGGGGGGGGGACTTTGTGCGTTTCTTTATTTTGTTCAGTATATTATGATTCTATGGTGAGCCCCAAACAGTTGGTTGAATATTATTAGTGGGACGATGGGATCTTCTGTGAATAGAACTAGAACCTTCACCTGTAAAACGCGTTCACTCGCACATTTGCCATGGTCCACTAATCATCCACACACGTATGAGCAGAGTCAGAGTTGTTCCAAATGTGATACTTAATTAAATGTATTAAGAAAACCTGAGGTGTTCCGATTAATTTTGATGACCAGTACCCCACACAGGTATTCAAGGTCATTTGTGCATATGTAAATGCAAGCATTATCAGACTGGAAGATGTTTTGTATATCACTTAAAAATACTTATAAAAGGCAGCAAGATTCTGTTAATAATACTGTCCTTAGTGCTGTACTTGGCATATAAGGAGAAGAAAGGGTCTGAATAGTAGCTTGCAAAAGTTGTAATACGAACATTAACAAATAAGTTATTTTTTACTAATGAATATTTAACAATGTAAGTATAAATATTGATATCTGGATTCTTGACTAAAAATAATTTGTATGCTATTATCAAAACAATAATCATTCACAAAATCATATTTTGTGGTATTCAAGTTTGATTACAGAAAATATCACATGTTCAATAATACTTTTTTATTCATTGGTCCAACTGCAATTGAAATATTGAGATCAGTAGAAGATAACTTAGAATAACCGGTAGTTTATGCAAACATTTCAATAGTTAATAAACAGCAGTTTTTTGTTGTTTTTATTTCATGTGTTTACACATGAGGCACGGTAGTCTAGTGGTAGGACGCCGGGCTCGTGACCGAAGGGTTGCGGGTTCGAGTCACGGCACTGTGTTGTATCTTTGAGCAAGATACTTTATTCCGCTTCTTTTCTAGTCTACTCAGCTGTAAATGAGTACGTGGTTGGGCAGTGCTAGAATCGTTGAATGCTAGCTGTTAAAGCGGAAATGGCAGCTCCGGCTGTATGCTCCCCAGGGAGTTGAAAAGGTATTGGCTGGTTGCAAAGGCCCTATAACCTCGGATAATAATTTGTGAACCGCTTTGATACGACCTACGAACTAGGTTGCGATAAATTAAAGCGGTATATAAGAATCTCGAATTGTTATTATTTATTATTATTTACATAGAAGTTGGTCAAAGATGGAGCATTACATTCAATGTTTTCTTCTATATTTATTTTTAACTTCTTACATGAGTTCCAAGTTTTTTTAACGTTTTGGGGCGCTTGCCCTGTTCAACTGTTCACATGCAATCCCCGTTTTTATGTTTTGGAGCGCTAGCCCTGTTCAACTGCTGACATTGTTCAAATATCCAACTGTTGGATAAGTAGAGGCCTATTTCTATAGCCAATGAGGAGCTGTTGGATATATGAATAGACCACTACTTTACCAATGCCCTTTCAACTTATTCAATGCCTAGCTGTTAAATATGGAAAATATACAACTAGTAACACAATGGATGAAACTTTCTAAGTTTCATTATCAACCTTTTATATAAATGTCAAATATAGATACTCCCAACAGTCCCTATTTCTATACTTTAGATTCGATATTACCTAGAATGACAGATTCCCAACCAACGGCCTCGCCGAGAGTGTCTGTAGCCATGCCAACCTTCGACATGGCCGTTTTGATTTGACGAAACGTCCCATTAGGGTAGGTGTACGTCCACTTCAAAAACATCTTGGTAATCTGGGTGACAACCGCAAGTCTCCTTGTCTCATGTTCTATGTTCGAGATCTCTGGTAGTGACAGGCCAAGTTCGATGAAGAGTCGCTGACATTTGGACGCTTCGACCATGTAAGACAGACGCCCGAGCTCCTGGGATGTTGGTCTTCTGTCAAGGCATATCTCCTCTGATGCAAAACATATAATAAACATGGATTTTTGAAATTTGGTTCTAGGACCGAAGGAAGCAATGGGGTTTATTTTTAACTATACAAGTATTAAGATTGTCTTCTGTTCCACATAGTTCTTCAAGTAAATGCCGTATGTAATATTTTTATTCGATCAGTTTTCACATGGGAGATTAGTTATTTCATTATTTTTGTATAGCTAAATGCCTATATACCTGATAATTTATATTGATAATTTATACTTACCGTGATTGGATCCCAACCCATGTACTTGTGTGGCATTCTGCAAGATAATAGCCACCAGACAGTAATTGTAATAACACTGTATTGATATCAGATTTTCAATTATTAAATGCACATGTTAAAAACAAAAGTTGTTCTCGTATCATGCTTTATTACTAGTTTGAGTATTGCATTATATTCTAAATATAAAGCCATTTCCATTGTTAAGATATATCCCTTATAATATTTGTTCCTTCTATTCAGAAACGAGGCCAAATTCATACTTTAATATTGTTAGGAATACTGATGTAATATTGAGGGATTATTTCATGCTCATGAATTGCTATTTTGCACCATGAATATATCATTACCTTTGGTATGTCCCAAAACAACAGGTCCGATTGCGTCAGTCGATGTTTTCCTCGACATTCATCTCCTTTACAGGACATGCCTGCCTCTGCGTGAATGACACTGTAGATCTCTACAGGAGTATCGTACGGACTCAAATGAAAGTTACAGTGCAGTTTGTATGTGTACTGAAAGTGTTGCTGGTTACTCATCTGCAGAGTTTCCCGTAAAATCCGCTCCAGAGAGTTTCTAACAAGTGTTCCAGAGTGTGGAGGAAGTTTGGATTCTGAAGGACTGAACAATGTCACAGCAATTGTAGACCGCTCCCAGTGCATCGACAAGATCATTCTGCAGAGCTCATTCACCTCGAAACAGCCAAATCCCCTGTAAAGACAAGTCGTATCGTTTGTCGTCGGCGGGTTTCTTTTGAGTTCGTCTTCTCTGAGTCTTGCTGATAGTGATACTGATATGAAGGTCTTCATGATTGTGGCAAAGACTCGGTGAAAGAGCTCCTCTGGAACAAAGACATCATGAAATATGAAGCATAATGTTTGTGAGACATCAAGATTATTCTGTTTAAGGTTATTGACGTCATCGGTGATATCAGTGATGGTTTCTAACTCCATGAGTTTGCTCGGAATGGTATACTTCTCACTGAAGCGTTCATTTGCTGTTTTGGATTCCGAAATCAGTAGCCGTACTATCAGTCCAAACTTTTCCATCAAAGCCAGGAGAATTGACTTATGGGGCAAGAAAGCTTTATTTTGTTCTAGACTGAGAAGTCTATCGACCAACTTCTGAGTCAACTCGCCCTTTGTCTTGTACTTCTCTAAGTCTTGGGCAAGCACGAGATCGTCTTTTGGAAGAAACTGGTCATCGGTAATCAGGAGACCGAAGCAATCCGCAAGCCACTGGGGGTCGTTGATGACGTAGTCAAACTCCGGAAAATAGATCACAGATCTCGTGCAGTGAAGATACCTACTCAGAAAAAATATGATATTTGTACAACTTCTAGTTTCAATAGCGTATTTGGAAAAGTAGAAAAGACAAAATGACTCAGATATATATATTAATAGTCTGATTTCAATTCATTCATAGTTGCAGTGTATAATAAAACTGTTGTTATTTATTATTAAATAAAGTCGGTCGTTTGGTATAGTTCATAGCAACCATACGAGAACACAGTAGCAAGTAAAGTTCACGGAACGTATTACGCTATTAAGCCGAGTGATAGAACACAGGGTATTCTGACAATTAATGTGACTATAAAGGTGATCGAATGTGAGACAAAGACAACAGTGTCATAATATAGTATAATATTTATCATCCCGAGTCTTACCAGTGTCAGTAATATGTAGACTTAGGTATTGTGTAATAAAGGCATATGAAGTATATGATCGGATCGTGCGAAGGAAGAAAACACTTTGATTATTCAACTAGACACATATGGCAGCATTATTTACTGTAAAAATGTTCATCGACCGACAGAGTTCGTTTGAAAAATCGTTTATAACTCAAAATGAATAAAACTAAGAATAAGAAATCCACGTACTGGCGGAATTCAGGAGAAAGGTTTGATCGATTTGAACTATTATTTCTTTGAACGATTTTTTTATCTGGTTTTGTCTACTAACTATTCGGAAAGGTTCAATGACAAGGAACCTTGTAAAAAAAATGGCACGAGATGACATTTCTTCGTTGGAAGTTTAAGATGTTTCTGTTAAAATGAGGTACAATACTGTTGCTCTAGCTGTGGTGATTGGTTTACCTTCAAAACTTTATTAAGCGAGGACTTAGTAGGGAAAAGTAAACAACGATGAAAGAAAAGGTCGAGTAGAAAAGCAACTGGGCAAGTATCACCAGGTCGATAAATCCAGTTACTAGGAATCTACAACTTCGAAAAATCAACTCCTAATATATCAGGTCACAAACCTACCATACTTTATTTTTTTTATCAGAGGCCTTCAATTTTATTTCAGACAAGTCCGTTTTTGAATATAAGGCCTGACAAAACGGGAAAATTGATGGGATAGAGGAAATCTTTTTTTATGATCCTGATGGTGATAGGGATGAAACTTAAGATAAAGAGAGATTCAAGACTTCTTGTCAGTAAAAAAATCAGCTGTTCAAACATCTACGGCTCCTTTGAAACATTTGGGATGATTGTATTTTATCTCTACTTACTAACAACTTTCTTTTGTTTCCTAACGACTAACTTGACAATACCACACTTTGGGTCTCAGTGTTGAACGTTCGCCCAAGTGTAGAAGGATATTGGTTCCGTCTCCAGAAATGCTAGATGTTATCCCTTGCAATGCGTTCTGAAGGGTAATCGCATCGATAGTTTGACCTGTCGTTGGTATAATGTGACCGTTTGAATACTGTGCACTTGGCACGACATTAAATCGAGTTACTACCTTAAAATCGGCATCAGATCAGAACTATTTATAAGAGGAAAATACACCAACACACCGCATCCAGCGCACATACACACATAAAGGCACACATTAAACACGTGGAAGCACATCCTTAAATGACATTAACTGTTAATAGGACGCTAAACGTCATTAAACTCCCCTTCTATAAAACATGGATGTATATATATACTCACTGCAGAGCCAGTTTGATCTCCTTCACATCGTCCAGTGGTGCCATAGACTCTCGGTTCATTTCAATCACCTCCTCCAATTTCAGTATTCTGGTTCCCTCTTCTCTTAATTTCATTAAATCCATCTCCAGTTTTAGCCATCTGGTAGGGAGTTGTCTGCCCCACTGATCCTGGTGCTCAGCAAATTCCAAGACACACTTTCGCAAATGTGTCAGTTTGTCGTCATCTGTACAGGGAGGAAATGGTGGTGATGGATGCTGGAATCTCTTCCTGAAAAAATGACGCAATCTCAGAAGGATTGGCTTCGTACCTTTACTGTTATCGACTGTACAGAATCTGACATACTTGTGCGATGAAAGTTCTGGGAAACTTGTAATGCTTGACTGTATAGCCTGTACTTGTCTGTCGTAGTCCTGGAACGAGAAGTAAATACATGTTACGTATACACGACATTTTTAAAATTAAATCTACTGCACTTTCTATGAGTAACCAATTGTATCATTTAAATTCTCAAGTTTCTGAATGATTTCAAGGACAAAAAATATCGTTGTTTTGAATATGTTTAGTACTTGAAGTTTCATTGCCTGTGTGATGAAAGCCGGTTTTCATTATCATATCAAAAATGACAATATGTAATAATGACATCACGGACTTCAATCGATGTTTACAGTTATAAAAAGAATGATTACAATATGTACTCAAATTACGTAGACTTACTATCAGTAAATCATGACCAAATATACTAAATTCATCAGAAACAAGGGAAACGTGTAATACCAACATTAAAAGTTCTAGCACTTACTTTGTTTTTCCTCTTCAACTCATCAAGGAAGGTTCCGATGAATATCAATGGCGGATGATGTGTCTTCAATTTGGACACATTTAAGGCTTTTGACGAAAATGTCCCAATCATCCGAATCCATTTCTTTAGTCTATCTGCACTCAACAAGTGTAAATGTCGATGTAAAGCACGATGATAACACATGTTCATTGAACGTATATGTTTAAGATGTAAGTTTAGTATCAGATCCGAACTTGCATAAGTACATGATTGTGTATGTTCACCAATATTACGTTAATTATGAAATATCGATCCTAACCATAACTCCCGACTCTAGGATAAAGGAAGATCTTATTAGATTGCTGCAGAACACTGAGATATTGCAGTGTAAAGTAAGAACAGCCACCATGTTTAAACCGGAAGTATATCAAGCATTACTGATATTGCTTAAACTAAATCAGACAGTTTAGCCATCAATTTGTCAAGCGATCTTGATCTTGGATGAAATCAATGAACTGTTGTGAACTCTTTTGTTGTTGAGGGTCAATTCAAAAATTGGCAGTCTCCAGCCTTGCATATTCAGCTGATGAATGGTCAGACTATTTTAATTTTATTCGAAGCAGTAAGACTAACACTGCGGATCTTAAAAGCTATGAACCTAATATGTTGAATAAAACCGTTTAGAATTTGACAGATTTAGGTTAGAGGGACAAACTTCTAATAACGTGTTCACTGATAGACAAGAATACTGCAACGTTACAAAGTCAGATATTGTTCAGATGAAAATATACAGTTGAATATTTAACTAGATTTTCATAAACCCATATTTTGTTTCAATTAGCATAAATAACTAATTTTCATCGAGTGATTGGAAACGACAACGTGTCAGCGATATCGAATGATTTTATAACCATCAAACTGATTATATGTATTGAATTGTTTAGCTAGGCTTCAACCGTGTATGAAATATGCAGTTAATCGGTTGATCTTAGATTCCTTACAAATATCCATGGATCTATTATATAGCCAAATAGCTGTCTATGAATTAATTTCAGTTAGAGAGTAACGTTGCTTAGTGTCCTTTGAACTTCGACTTATATCATGCGACATCGATCATGTTGTAATCTAAAGAAAACAGCACCCTGTCCGAATGGACTAGCATCATTGATAACGGTGGCTTTACCGTAGTAACATAGTGTTTCTTTGTAACAGTGTTTTCACTGGTTTTATCCTGCAGTGTTTACCGGCCATACGTCTATAAATAGACAATTTGATTCGACTACTGTATGACAGTTTGAGCTCTTAATCAATATCAGATCGAATCCAGGAAATACCGCGCTGTCGGAATCATTTATTGAGACACCATATCGCACTTCCAAAACATTTCGTCTAGGTGCTGAATCAATAAGTAATTTAAAGAGAATTTACTCATAATCCTGTGCTGGCGTATGACATCATTAATAAAATAATATTAACATATCTTAGTAATCATGCATGGATAGTCAAACATACTTCAGGCTATGACTATCTTCAAATTGATTTATTTTGCCACCAAAACCTAGCGTAGAACAATAGAAAAAATAACGAAAAAGAAATTAAATGTCCTGTACCTGAAAGTTTGCAATGCATTTTATCCCTTCCTCAAGCTGTAGCCTTTTTCGAATAAAGCCAATCAAACGACGTTCAGAGCTATATACTTACCACTTGAAATACATCAAAACACTGTTGTCTATCTTTATAAAAAGGTAAAATCTATTCGTACAGGTTTCTTGTCCTCCATAGTATCTTATATTGCTTTGAGTGTCTCTGACAAGCGATTGAAATAACAAATCAAATCATTTATCTCATATAATGGAAAAAATATATTAATTTTCCTAAAAAGGATGAAATACGGAATGTTAATTTACTTACATGTTTCCAGTCTGTCTTTGAGAAAATCGGTCAGTCTGAAGACTAGAAGGTATACGCCATGAGAGGAAATAAATACATTGTGCGAAGTCTGGAACGAAGAGTGTCCACCCATATCCCACAGAGATAGGAATGTGGCATCAGAGCTGGCATGACGTGAAGCTTCCCTGACAGCATCGCATTCAGATAATCTTTCAGTGGTTAGTGGTACAGGATCTTTCGATGAATACTTTTCATTTTGTTCTAATCTTCCTTGTGGTCCCCCTGCAGTGTACAATGAAATGTAAGAACAAAGTTTTAAAAATAGCTGTTTCTGAGTATTATGACTTATTGAACGATTTCTTTACAAGACAAAAAACGTGACATATCGCCATTGATGTCAGATAAACAAACTACTTATTCGTTATCTAGTTGTTAAACATCTCGGAAATAACAGTAAATTACCTGTCCGTAAACCATCTTCTCCCGTTCTCGTTACTCTCGTCATCACTGCACCAATACGTGCTTCTATCACTTTCCTAGTCGAATTATCAGCGTTACGCATCCAGTTGTTAGAATGCCGATCAATTGAGAACAAATCAGGGTATAAGTTAGCTCCCACCGTTGGTCTGCGCAACTTGAGATTGACATATTTATTTTGTAAACGACAACATACTGTTGTTTTACCGGCTCCTTCCTTGCCGGTAAATACAACACGTACGTGTTGATAGATCTCCGTATGTCCTTTAAACAGCGCCAAGTATGTATTTAAGACATCTTAAAAGAAGAAAAACGATAAGAATAACACATTCTCTGTACAAAAAAGGAGCAAAATGCAATCTAAAAGTCGGAAGAAAAGGCAAATAAACTCAAGAAAACATAAACGGTTAAGAGTTAAGAGTCATTGTATATATTAGTCGATAATTATTTAAAGTATTGTTTACAAGTGTTTAATTATGGTAAACACAAACTATCATGATTTTGTTTTACGTTCACAACACTCCTCTCCGTTTTAAAATGGGAAGCAATTTGGGCCAAAAAGAATCCAGCAGCAGTGAAGCCATCAGCTCCCGCACAACGGCACTCCAACATGCCCCCAAGGTCCGTGTCAAGGCAGCCCACAAAGAGAACACACCGCTAGAGCAGAACGGTCCAAATTCCTAAGCATGACCGGTGAACAAACCAAAAACTGTCTATGCTGATATTATATGATCTCCCTTATCACCGTGTTGCTTCAAAGGCTGGCTGCTCCTCCAATTGAAAATCTGATCGAGAAAACCAGCTAGGCCACATCAAAATATCAAAACCTGCTGTGAGACTGTTGACCAAGAACAAACAGCGGTAGCCAAACCATACGTTGTTTCAAGTGACCTCTCAATCAATTCCTCTAATGTCAGTAGTTCTGCACTTCTTGGCGAAACATTTCCCTTCTTGGCAATCCAATTGTTTACCACTGGATATCAGGCCCGGACTTTCTGCTCCTGTCCTGGTCCGCATGGATCCTAGTTCATTGACTGAATTAAAGGGATTTCCAACAGTTCTTTTCCTTGTTCTTCTAACATTGAGCTCACTAAATTCGTCGTACACACTTTCCTGTACAATCGTCCAGGTTTAAAGAACATGGTGAAGTGGGCATTACCAACCGCCTCGAACATTCCAGCCTCGGCAAAATAAATGGTATGACTTCTTCCTCCCAGTTCCTATGTTAACCTCTTTACTTTACTACGGGCCGCCATGACAGATTTCAAATGGCCTATTTCTGTCAGTCTTCAAATGTCCACGTCCATGGGCCTCGCAATGGCAGTTTGCTGCCGTGATCGTCACTAACACGCCAGATCTAAAACGGACTGCCATCGGACCCTCACTTACATATTCGATCATGGCCATGGGGTTCCACATGTCACAATATATCGGATTATTGGTCGATATACATTTAAAATTATATCGACATCATTACGTCTCTCCTAAATCATATGCATTAATATATACCACCGAGCTAGAATCGATGTATTGTTCAGTAGTTCCTTTAGATCGATAAACTACGAAGAAAATATGTTCTATTATATTTCAAAAATATTGAAATAGTTCCGCGTGGTAGAAACAAGTCAGTGACATTTTGTTCACTAAGCGATCAGGAAATATTATAATCGTAATAAATCATTTCATTACACCTTCTCGGTTATGTCACAAATTGGCATGATATAAAGTTCATTATATAATAAATGAACATGTTTATATAATGAAAAATATCCAGAGGCTGTTCTAGGTGACATTGTACGGAAAACAATGTTGTTAGACCTTTGTTAAATTGACACACAATTATATCATTGAGTATTTTAAGGAGTGGAGTCAACCTTGCGTTAAGTTGTGAGGAGACGATTACTTCCACACATGTTAAATGAACTGAATCCTTATTATTTTAACAAACACATTATTATGTAAATAAGGACAAAATGAAACTTTTTTCTTTAGATATCGATCCGTTCTATGCATAAACAATCAGATGATATGTATTTACGTATTGCCATTTGAGGAGATTCATTTATCACTGATTAATCCCATTATGTAAAATGATACCGTTTATCGGAAACACACTGACGAATATAATACAAACGCACTTCATCGTATATAAAAAATAAAATAAAAAATAACATGAAAATCTAATAGGAAAAATATCCAAACACTGCACTATATAGAAATATGAATATTACCGTTTGTCGAATATCAGCAAACCTAAAAGTATTCTTATTGATAAATATTCTAAAGGCTATTCTAAATGAAAATATAAAGAATACCATGTTGTAGAACAGAAGTTGCTATCAATGAGCTATATTTGCAAAATGAAATATATGTATGGTACATCAAGTGACAATTAGTGTATCAATTGAAATATAAAGCTAAGGTAGTGCAAACATGGAATTATATGTGATATATAAAAACCATTGAAGATCCAAGGAAGTTTTCCATTAATGGATCATTCATTGTGTTTGAGAAAGAAATGTCATGAATTAATCTCTATATGTCAAATAATATATTGTGTCACTTACATAATGACGAGTATACTCTCCACAACCCTCATCTCATAGTAAAAATACATTATCTAATAAAAAAAAATATAAATGTTTATCAAGATGGGGCTATACAAGTTGTGAGAACTACAGAACAAAAAAAATCATTAAAATGAAATCATCACTGATATGATATCCTGACGGTCTGGGTCAAAAACAAAAAGGAGAAAATAATAAACGTTATATTATAAATCACCGTTTACATGTATTTATATCATTTCTGTTTCTTATATATCGGTAAATAAGAGTGAATGCTAAGATAAGTTAACAAACAATACGTAAGCAAGGAATCTTTTCGCAACATTATATGAACCGTGATATATCATCAGATGTATATTATTACAACATTATAACTTTGGTAGTTTGCTACGAAATCCCTGTGCATCAGCATATAAGCATAAATATGAAAGCACAAAATATGGAAATATTAAAAGCGTGGAATCAATTTTACGCTATATGGTTAGGACAGAATTAATGCTTCAAAAATCAACTTAACTTAATCTATAATATTTCAACATATACATCGTGTGTGTACTAAGGAGTGAATAGAAACAACAGATAATTTGAAAGTCTTATGAACCGTAATGCATCATCATATGTATATTATTGTCACGATATAATTTATATCGGTGTTTTATTAATCAGTCTATAGATTTTTCAGATATTTCCGGTTGATTGAGACAATTGTTTTTAAATACATGCATTACTGTGTTTATTATTTTAACATGACTGTATTAAACGTGTGTACTTCTTCAATGGAATATTACGTCACTAGTATAAAATTAAAATATGCTTAGATCTTTTGGAATATTTAAGCGTGGATTTACCATTGCGTTATATCGTGAAAAGAAGAGTAATGCTATATATAATACATTTAGTCTAAGGCGATAATATTTCAACACATTAATCTCAATATGTCAAATAATATGTTTTATCACTAACAAACTGCTTATATAATAACAACCATCTTAATCATATAAACAATTACCTGCTTATCTAATGCAATACTTTACAAACGTTTAGTATATCCCTTGAAAATAACAGCATTAATTGAAATACGTGTAGTTTAGGTTGAGCAAACGTTAATTTACAATTGAGATTAAATAATGACTTACCTCCTGTTACGATATCCAGAAGGACCATCAGGGCAGAAATAAAAAGGAGAAAATAGTAAACATTATCTTATAAATAAGTGTAGGCATATATTTATAACATCAATGATTATCATTTAATTAAGCGCATTTTTAACATACTAATGTATGCATACCAGTAAGTTTCAATGCTAAGATACACCAGCAAAATATATAACTATAAACCAAAATCTTAGAGCATCATCATAAGAAATGTGATGTAAAATCGTATGTATATCAAAACATGGTAATAATTGATAACGTCATATTATAAATTAGCCTATATATTCTTAAGATATTTTCAGTGGGTTCAGACAAAAAAAGAAACTAAAATACACACATAACTGTATGCATTGTTTTAACATAATGATATTAAAAACAAAATAGACTAAGTGAATAGTATGAATATGCTATCTGCTAAGACGTTGGTAAATATTTAAAGTCAACATTGGGTTAAATTGCAGGACATTGTCTTAGTTAATAGTATTCAAACTATATATATTTGTAGATCAATAAGAAAAATAAAAAAATATGATATTTAATTCTGTATATATTGTTCCTGCAATGTGTGTTGATAATATAACATTTCAGAATTCACTTATTATTCATGACGATATCTGGAAATATTGTACTCGTGGATCTATCACTGAATTATTCGTTTTTTAATAAAATGACGTTTACTGAACAGATCGCATTCTTTTTTTGTTCTTAAAGCATATATATATATATAAACAAACTTAGCTAAAGTCGTTGTCTGTCGATAAGAGATTGAAGTTTATAACAGTTATCACTGACATACTGGCGAATTAGACATCAACACATTTCCTGGTATCGTCTAATAACATGCTATTCCAATTGAAGAACATCCAAACGCTATTAAAATGAGATTCTATAGAATACCAAGCTGTTAGAAATGTGTTTGTTTAACACAGAACGATATCAATGAGTCTTAGTGTTCAAGAAATATGTGTTAGGTACGTCAAGTGAAATTATAGTATCAGTTGAAATATATAGTCAAGATAGTAAAAAAAAGAATTTATAATTAAGATCTAAAAATAACTTACGTTCTGTTGTGAGATCCAGACAGGCAATGGCAGGACAAAAAAGAGAAATAATGTGCAGAATACAATCAATTACTGTATGCATTTATATATCACATTATCATTACACTTATTAAATGTATTGTTCAATCAAACCAATATTACGGTAATTGTCATTGTCAATGCTACATGATATATCAAATAACACATTTTATGTTACGAAATCTAAATGTATCACCATGCATATATAACTGTGCTTTATCACTATATGTATAATATCATAAAACACAAATGACAAGAGTGTCTTAGTACCACCCTAGCGCTTTCACCTCATTAGAGGTTCATCAGGGATCTGTATAATATCATTGTACTTATCACAACTTTTGAGTTGATATTGATGTATATCAAATCCCTCTGAATATTGTTTAGATGGTTCTGGTTGAGTGAAACTACGAGAACTGAAAACAATAACTCAAACCTGACTGTGTGTATTGATGTTACCTGAATATCAAATATAGGTACATTTTGAAATGAAAGTCGGCATTATGAACATAAACTGTGCAGTGTTCTTGGAGAAATTTATTGTTTTTTTATTGAAACTCTCGTTTTGTAAAGTAAATTCAAAGGACATCATAATGTACTTCAATAGAAAAAACTTAAAAACATCAATCTGTTGTTGATCAAGATGGGAAAAAAACATCATTTGAAAAACAAGATGTTTTTGATTTTACAGGAGACTTTTTTTATATCATAATAATACTGATCAATCAACTGAACACATCTATTGTTCTTAACAAATAGCATATGGTTAGTTGATACAATCAGGTTATTGACAAAACAAATATATTAACATAAATAATTACTTATGCAACAAGTCTAATGACATCGTCATATGAACCGTGATGTACCATCATATCTATTATTATTGCAACATTAAAACTTATATCGATGTATCATGAATCATTCTACATAGTTTGCAGATATTTTCGGTTAATTGATACAAGCGTGGTTGATTGATATAAGAGTACAGTTACCATTGCATTTTATCGCGAGAAAAGGATTAATGCCATGTATTAATTTGTATTAGTCGATATCATTTCAACACATATCTGTAGTACATTAGGAAGAGAATGGAAAACGAATTAAGTTAATCAGATGATACTCCTCAGCTGTTAACCTATTGTAGAGTAAGCGGTCAAGAGTTATTTTAATAATCGATTTGTCAATGGTGCTAAAACGTAATGGTAGATAAATATCATATATGAATCTCAATATATCAAATAATATATCTTATCACTAACCAACTCACTAATACAATAATAGCCATCTTAATTATAAAATGAAATAACCTGCCTGTCTGATAAAATAATTTGCAAACGATATTCTAGACAGAATTATAAAAGGATACTGTGTGTTTAGTACATCACTTGGAAAAAACAGTTTTGATCGAAACATATTTGATAAAAAGACAAGGGAGGGTAGAAATAACAATGAGAAAATAATAAACGTTATCTTATGAATTAGTGTAAGCATATGTATATAATATTTATGTTTATCATTCAATTCAGTACATTTTTAACGTACCAATATTTGGATACATACAAATTTGAATGCTAAGATACATCAGCAATATATATAACTATAAAACAAAATCTTAGAGCAACACCTTATGACCGGTGATATATTATAATATGTATATCAATACAACATTATAAGTGATAACGTTATATTATCAATAAGCCTATGTTTTCTTTAGATGTTTTCAGTGGATTCAGACTAAAACAATTTAAACTTAAATACACACATTACTGTATGCATTGTTTAACATTATGAAACTTACAAAAAATAGAACACAAAGTGAACAGTATGAAAATGCTATCTGTTAAGATATTGGTAAATATTTAAAGCCAAAATTACGTTAAATTGCAGCGCATTGTCTTAGTTTAAAGTATTCTAAACCATATATATTTTGAAGATCAATAGGAGAATGAAATAAATATGATAATTAATTCTGTATATATTGTTCATTGAATTATCAGATTTCAGAATTCACTTATTGTTCATGAAGATTTCCGGAAATATTGTACTTGTGGATCTATCAGTAAATTATAAAGCATACATATAGATATCTATCTAAAAAAAACTTAGCTAAAGTCTCGGTCAGTCGATGCGAGATTGAAGTTTAAAACAGTAATCAATGACATACTGGCGAATTAGACATCAACACATTTCCTGGTATCGTCTAATTACATGCTATTCCAATTGAAGAACATCCAAACGCTATAAAAATGAAATTCTATAGAATACCAAGCTGTTAGAAATGTGTTTGTTTAACACATAATGATATCAATGGGTCTTAGTGTTCAAGAAACACGTGTTAGGTACGTCAAGTAAAATTATAGTATCAGTTAAATATATTGACAAGATAGTGAAAATATGAACTTATAATATAGATCCAAAAATAACTTACGTTCTGTTGTGAGATCCAGACAGGCAATGGCAGGACAAAAAGAAAAGAGAAATAATGAGCAGAATACAATCAATTACTGTATCCATTTATATATCATATTATTATTACACTGAGTACATTTATTGATCAATCTTAACAATATCACGGTAATTGTCATTGCTGATGCTACATTATGTATAAAATAACACATTTTATATTACAGAATCTAAATGTATCACTATATGTATTATATCATATCAAACAAATGACAATAGTTTCTTAGTTTCTTAGTACCTCCCTAGCGCTTTCACCTCTTTAGAGGTTCATCATGGGAGCTGTATAACATCATTGTACTTATCACAACATTTGAGTTGATATTGATGCAATATTTAAGCGTGGATTTACCATCGGTTATATCGTGAAAAGAATAGTTATGCCATATATTATACATTTAGTCTAAGGCGATAATATTTCAACACATTAATCTCAATATGTCAAATAATATGTTTTATCACTTACAAACTGCTTATATCATAACAACCATCTTAATCATATAAACAATTACCTGCTTATCTAATGCAATACTTTACAAACGTTTAGTATATCCCTTGAAAATAACAGCATTAATTGAAATACGTGTATGTAGTTTAGGTTGAGCAAACGTTAATTTACAATTGAGATTAAAAAAGGAGAAAAGAGTAAACGGTATCTTATAAATAAGTGTAGGCATATATTTATAACATCAATGATTATCATTTAATTAAGCGCATTTTTAACATACTAATGTATGCATACCAGTAAGTTTCAATGCTAAGATACACCAGCAAAATATATAACTATAAACCAAAATCTTAGAGCATCATCGTAGGAAATGTGATGTAAAATCGTATGTATATCAAAACATGGTTATAATTGATAACGTCATATTATAAATTAGCCTATATATTCTTAAGATATTTTCAGTGGGTTCAGACAAAAAATGAAACTAAAATACACACATAACTGTATGCATTGTTTTAACATAATGATAATAAAAACAAAATAGACTAAGTGAACAGTATGAATAGGCTTTCAGCTAAGACGTTGGTAAATATTTAAAGTCAACATTGCGTTGAATTGCAGGACATTGTCTTAGTTAATAGTATTCAAACTATATATATTTGTAGATCGATAAGAAAAATGAAAAAATATGATATTTAATTCCGTATATATTGTCCATTTCAGATTTAAGAATTCACTTATTATTCATGACGATATCTGGAAATATTGTACGCGTGGATCTATCCCCGAATTATTCGTTTTTTAATGAAATGACGTTTACTGAACAGATCGTATTCTTTGTTTTTCTAAAAGCATATATTATATAAATATGACATTCATTGGCTTCAAAAATGGTTTTCTCGGGTTGACAATATTCACTGTCACCTGCTTATGAATGTCATATCTATTTTGTTACACCAAAAGTCATTGTAGCTCAGAAACGGCAGCAAGCCTCGATAATGACATCTTGTTTGTTGATAGTCTGCTGTTTACAATCGCTATCGCACCGGCGCTTGATGAAATTGGCTGTTGCCGTCAAACGTTCTTGTGACCATCACGGTGGGGAAACGAAGCGGTGCACGCACATTTTTTGCGCATGTGATATTTTTCACTGTCTCATGGCAATATCACCCGCGCCCCTTAAAACCAATGTATT